AGAAAAATGGAATGAGAAAAATTAGTAAACTTAGCTGATCAACATTTGGCAGGAAAGATACAGAAAACTAGGTAATACTGACATTTCTTATTGTGTGAGCTTTTTTTTTAATTTAATAGGTGTTTTACTAGGATTTATTAGCAATGAATGAATGAAAAAGAGCTTTCTGCCAGTTTTGTTGTACATCTGTCCATTGGGCACTTAACAAGAAGAGTTAAGAGTCATCGTTTAAAGGGTAGAATGAGACAGGACTAGATTTTGCTTTAATGTCCTTGTTGCCCCCTTCCCCTTCTCTAAGTGTGTCACATCTGGCCTTAAACCTGATTCCTCTGCCTGTGTCCTCGGTCCTTATGTAGTAGTTTTGAACTTTCCTAATTCATGATTTAGGGAAGAGTTAAATTAGTGTGCATATTGAACAAGCATTTCAAAAAGTAGAATGATCTAGAAAGTTTGACTTCATGGTTTTTCTATTACCACCCTAACTTAGAGCTGTTATTTTTTAACATTTTATTTTATTACTAGTTTCAAGTAAACTATTTATATAGTTTATAAAATGATCCCCCTAATTGCTCTTTCTCTCCTCTGGCTCTCTGCCTAGACATTACATTAATGCTAACTGCATTCCCTATGCTGTGCTCCCCATGCCTGTGACCATCTATCAACTCCTAATTTGTACTTCTTTATCATTTCATTCCATTCTCCCAGCTCCCCAACTCTGCCCCTGTCCCTGCCCCAACCCCCGCCACCTTCACCAGATTGTCCTCTGTGTTTGTGAGTCTGTTTTTGATTAGTTTGTTCTTTTTGTTCCTTAGATTCCTCGTATAAGTGAAATCATATGGTATTTCTCTTTCTCTGTCTAATGTATTTCACTCAACATAATAACTTCTAGGTCCATCCATGTCGTTGCAAATGGTAAGATTTCATTTTTCTCAAAAAATTAAAAATGTATATATTTTTTGATCCAGCAATTGCACTTCTGGTTATTTATCCAAAGAAAATCAAAACAATAATTCATAAAGATCTGTGTTCATGGCAGCACAATTCACCAAATAACCAAGATATGGAAGCAACCTAAATGTCTATCAACAGATGACTGGATAAAGAAGTTATGGTTCATATATATAATGGAATGTCATTCCGAGCTGTTCTTGACTTAGCAGTTTCCAACCTGAACTTAACTCCATCTCTGCTGAAGTCACACTCCTTCTTGTCACCTTATTCTCCTTTAACACATTGCAGTCTTTGGATTTTTCTACCTCCAGTACCTGCAAACTTGATGGGACCTTTAAATTAATTTTTCTAAAGCATTTATTTGATTATGTTAATCTTCTGTGTGACTTTCCATAGCTTATCAGATCAAGTTAAATTTTTTACCATGACATCAAAAGTTTTCTCAGTCTTTTTCCAACCAAGTCTTTCTACATAATCTCCTACTAGATAATTTGTACTGCAACCAAATGGGATTACATTTTTTTAATTTCAGTTGTGTTCTGTATATTTATTCATCCTGTTTGCTCTGCCTTTGTATTAATTATCCAAGTTATATCAACAGATCTTGCCTTTATCCACTTAGATTTAATTCCATCGACAGGTGGAAGTTATTTCTTATACTTGAATTTGTATAGTATTTTATTTTATTCATATATAACATACTTTTCAATTATTTATGTATGTTTTTTAGCTTATTATCTTTGCTAAATAAATGTTAAGCTCCTTGAGGTCTGTTATTGTCTTATTCACTTTAGTATCCTCCACAGTGACTGGTATTATACAATTTATAGAATAGACAATCTATTTTGTTTCATACTAGGTAAATTTGTTAAAAAGTCCTAATATAATACTTTGCCTACATGAAGCTCATGCCTTGCTGTATTTCTTCCCAAATTTTTGCCAGAACTTTGCCCCACAACTGTTTTTCAATTCCTTATTTCTTTCCTAGTCTTTCTTTTACCAGAAAAGCAGAGATGAGAGAGAGAACTGTTTTATAAAATCGCATATGTAGAATACCTAATAAAAACTCTATGACTATGGAAAGTCAAAAAGTTGGGAAGATGAGAGAACATTTATTAATTCTAAAACACTTGACAGATGTGCATTGATCTCCATTGTTTTATCATCATTATGGTTATTTACTTTGTTGGTTATAAATACTATTTACTGTGGTGCCTCTATATGAAATTCACCATATTTCTTTAAATTATTTAAATTTTAAAGCAGCACTTATACTCAGCTTGTATAGAACATAATGGGTGCCAAGCAATATCTTTCTGCTTCCAGTTATCCTATAACAATTTAAGTAATTACTTCAATTTAGAAAGTTATTTTTTTACATATGTGTTATATCAGAAACAATACAATTATTGTGAAGCACAAGAAATAATGGATCAGGGTGGGGAATTTAGATAATTTCTTTGTTGAACTCAGAGAATTTTCTTTGAATGAATTTCATAGTAGTAGAACAGTCTCAAGTCTGCCGTTTATAAAGACTCTAATATAAAAAATTTAAATGATTGTAATTGTCAACTCATGCATGTTAGGCCTAATAGAACTGACAAATTGCATAGCAGAGTGCCCATCATATGTACGTGTATATATATGTATATAATAGGCATGCTACATACCTATGTGTGTATACATATATGCATACATATGTGTGTATAAGTGATGCATGTGTGTTTACTTTATGTATGTTTCTGAATATTATTCTGAGGTGAGAGTGAAATTATATTTTAAGTCACTATTTTAGTAATAATAGTGCATTTTTCAGCATTTATTCAAGTCACTGAGAAAAAATACAGTTTTTAAATACCATATTGACTTTGTAGAATGATTCTTTGCCTCTTAGATGACTATTCCTTTTCACACCCTTTGTTTTTTCATATCAGTTAATAACACATTAGTTAGTGAAATTTAGGGTATAGAATTTATAAAGCTATCCTTTCCCAATTTTTAAATGAGAGTTTTAAATATGATTTATATGACTGTCAAAGTAAGCAGCATTTAAATACAGAAAATCAAATTCTCAAGTTGAACTCTATGCATTTTTTATGTAATTCATAATAAGTATATCTTCTGCAAACTCTTAGAAATGTAGAATAGAGGATGTAGAGCTACTGCGTCTTCACAGTGTGGAAGCTGTCTAGCTATGCTTTTAAAGTTGTATTAAAATGCAGAGTAAGTACAAACTGAATAGTAGGATAAAACGAAAAAGAGAAATTTATAAAGGGGGAAATGTCAGATTCAAAATGAGGAGTATATGAAAACAAGTACATAAGTACTAGTTCTAAAAAAAGAAACTAAACAAGAATTAATATTTATTGTGTTTTTTCTCATTGTTGAATGGGAGATTTTTATTCAAATACTCTAGGCATTTTTTGGAGAAATTTTACATTCTCATTCTACTTTTAGAACAAAATTCAGCCTAACCTGAACAGGACCATTAAATTGTATTTGGTTGTTGCCTAGCAGGCGCAAAATCACAGTCTAGCTGGGAATTTTAGGATAAATCTGTTACTGCCTGGTCAGCTGGTAGGCAGTGGTGGTGAAGACTGTTTATAGTAACTAGACTGAACTGTAAGTGTCTCTTGTGCCTGGCAATGAAAATATTAGCACAGAGCTATACATATAAAAAGATTTTTTTTAATGATTAGAGAGCCACATCTTGCAGCCTACTTAAAATGCTTAAGGTAAAAAAAAAACATGTAACAAAGGTGTGAATGTAGGGAGACCTGATACTGTGAACAATCAGATTTGAAGACAGCATTTAAAACCTAAGTATTAGAGTCTACCAAAGATTAATTTGCATGTATATACATGTTTATTTTTATAGTTTTGAGGTTTTTAATTAAATGACCACCCCAGTATATTTTATATCACAAATTAAATACTTTGAACTGGAATCCCAATTTAGGTTTCCCATCTGTGTACCTTGCTGGTTATTTTTACATAACTGAAATTTTTAATCTAAAAGGTCAAATTTATAAAAACACCAAATTTGGCTCATTTTTTGTATTACTTATTTTTCTTCTTTTTTCCCTACTGATTTCCATTTAGTGATAGCATTGACTATCTGCAGTGAGTTAAGGAAGGCCTTGACAAAACCTTGACCTTGGCCTTCACTTTAATCTCGTTGTCAAATCAATGTATTAAAGTTGTGCTATGTATTGGTTTGTTTACTGTGTAGACTTTACCATGGCCTTGACTTTCATAGACTAATTATTTTGATTAAGTTAGACGATTAAAGTTAGTCTTGCATGAGGGAGGAATACACTTGGGAAGCAGTGATAGATGGACTCCAGTCTTTGGAGTGTTTAGTTCTGCCAGCATTTTCCAGTTGAATGAAAATTCACCTCCCAGTTTGGTTTCGGTGACAGTGAATGTATTGTCAAACTTGAGTGTTTCCTAGAAAAAGACAGAAAGAGATCAAGAAGGATAGATGACAATGTGAATAGCCACATGTATCCTTGCAATTTTTCCCAGATATTGTTCTGCTTTGATGAACAACATCATTACTGAAGTAATAACTGTTAATTAATATCTGCGTCATTTTTTGTAAATGGTAGTTTAGTGTTACAATTAGACTAATTAGTATACAGCATAGCTTGGTGACATGACAAATCATAGAGCAGCAAGTGTTGACTCTTATCCATTATGATATATTAGCTAATTCACTTGCTCAATAATGACAAAAGCAAAGATCGGCACTTTGGCAGTAACAACAGCAACCACCGTCGAGGCATTGTGGCCACACTTTCAGGTTTTTATTTCCCACCATGTTTCTGAGTACTGTGGATTGTTGACATTTTACATTTCGCTTCTTTTCCTATTGGGAAATGATAGACCCCAATCAAAATTTTCAAGAATAGAATCACGAATAAGAATAAAAGATGACTTCCAAATTTTCCTGGTTTACACATGCTGTGTCATGCTCAGTGTTTTATTTTTCCAAGACTATTCATTATAAAGTTGACAGCTATCTGTGTCTTTCATTTATTTTTCAGAACCTATGCGAACCCCAAAGACGTTAAAGATTGCTGAGATACAGGCAAGGCGCATTGCCGTGGACTGGGAATCCCTGGGTTACAACATTACTCGTTGCCACACTTTTAATGTCACTATCTGCTACCATTACTTCCATGGTCACAACGAGAGCAAGGCAGACTGTTTGGACATGGACCCCAAAGCCCCTCAGCATATTGTGAACCATCTGCCACCTTATACAAACGTTAGCCTCAAGATGATCCTAACCAATCCAGAAGGCAGAAAGGAGAGTGAAGAGACGATTATTCAAACTGATGAAGATGGTATGCTCATATTTCATTATTTTCAAAAAGAAGAATTATATAATAAAAATTATGTAATTGCTTACAATGTTTTTAGAGTACCCAGAATTGAATTGGATTCTCAAATCTGCTAAATACTTTTAATAAGATTAACTTTGGAAAGAGTTTGCCTTTAACAAAAAGCTTAACATTCTTCAGAGGAACATCAAATATTAGCTGAGATGTACCTTTACTGCTTGCCTTTTTTCTCTAGAAACCAAAGAATGCTATTAGGCTTATATGACATTTTTCATATTTCATTAAATTTTAAAAGTGTGTTTTAAGGTACACATATGACTAGATTAATAATTAGGAAGGGAATTATTATGGAATTTTTAAATTATGTCTAAATTGATCATACTAATGACTGTATTATTTATTTTATCCAGAAACAGTTTTATAAAAGTAAATGGCATTATTTATTCTACTTTCCATATTATTTTTATCCTAATTTTATTTTAACCTCTACTTTGAAGCATTTTTATTGGTTTTAATAATGTCGAGTTGCATGCTATTATTTCAAAATACATTCTTAAACTAATTTCTTTTACCATGAGGTTCTCTCCTGCTTTTTCTTTATATATAAAACTAAATGATTGAAGTATATGCTTTCTATACTTTCTATGACTTATATGCAAGTAACTTAGTCTTCAGATCTGCCCATGTGAGCTCTAGTTTCTACATAGAATGCTTGATGGGTCTCAGTGTTCCCGAGGGGAGACTGAATATCTAAATCGTAATCTATTGTTGTGAGGATCGATGGATTATGATGATCTAATTAAGTCAGTCTTAGTAAATTATTGCTGCCCTATATACATACAAAAATAATATATCATCAACCATCTAATAAAAGAATATAATTTCATGAAAAGAATTCTGGGGACATTTATAAATCATGACAACAAAGCGAAAATGATTTCTCACCAGAACCCTAAGGTAGAATTTATATTTAATTTATTGCATATGTTTTTTAATGCATGGGTAGAATTTTTTGTATGAGATTTTGTTTTCATTTTTTATTCCGGCATTGATAAAAATCAATATTAAGAAGTTAGCTCAGCAGAAAAGCCTGGTTTGAGGACAGTTTTTTTTGCTAATACAGAGCTATTTTTAAATGTGTATTTATTACATTTTAAAGGTTATAATGTTTATTTAATATAATCTTGCCCCACCAACATTTACTTTTTTCCCCTTTCCATTTTGTGAGTTATATTTTAAAGTACTTTCTTACATGCAAAAAAAAAAAATAGCTGAAACAGCTCTCAAGTAAATCACAAGCAAGGGAATAAAAGCCAGCATTCTATCTGAATTAAAAAAATTGCTAATGTGGAAATGTGAAGTGACATTCCCTGCAATATGAAGACTTCCATGATAATGGTGTTAGGAAATTCATGTTGTATTTACACAAATTATAAGTATATATAGATGTCTGTATGTGGTAAGTCATTGTCTTCCTTTGGTTATAGAAATTAGTGAATATAATTTGTCTGTCCCCTTACTCCATTGCCCCATTTGTTTCACTCTTTGTAGTTCACCTTAGGGTAGTTCTTTCTCCCCTCTATTCTATTTGTCCTGGTGCAATATCAGAAGTATAGCACACTGTCTTGGTCATAATTTTACTACAGACTTCTCTCTAACAAATATGACTTATAGGTACTTGAAGTGAATCCTACTGACAAATTAGAACATGTGTAAGAAGAGCAGAGTAATACACACATTCTGGGGAGATTATTCACCACCAATTCTATCCCTCTCAATGCGGAATTATGCAAACATTTAAAACTATCCCTATTTGTGAACAATTTGAAGTATATCCATACCATTTAATGGTATTTATAAGCCAAATTGTGTTTGGTGAACACAGGCACTAATTACATACCATCACATAAATGTTTACTCATTAATCGTAGTTTTGCCTCCTCCTTCCTCCAACAAACACCTTCTTCTGTGAGATGTATGGAAAAGTGAAGAAATATTTTTTCCTTAATGACAATTTTAAGCTTATGTCATTTGAGTAAAATGGAAACAATAGGTACTCTCTTGGAAAACAAACTAATGCCCATGGCAGCCTCAATAGATTCCACATTTTGCACACAGAGGCCATCACATCCTCTCTGTCTTGATCAACTACATATCCTGTGCCAATACTGTTGTCTGGTTGAGGTGGAAGAGTAGTGGATGCCTTTGGTTAACTTCTCCCTGAGTCTTCCGTTGACAGATGCATGAACAGATCATCCGAAGTTTAGTGCTGACATCTTTTCTGTTTACTGTGGGTTTCTTTCCTTTATGAATTTTTTATTAATGTGCCAAATTATGTTGGCTGTTGCAGAGGTCAGAACATCATTCATCATCTCCTTGTAGATTGAAATAAATCTTACTCTTTTGACATATCATTCAGATTTTCTTAATACCGCTAGCCACGATGCAATGCATTTCCTTTGATCCAGTGATTTTTAATTTATTTCAATCCTCACAAAATTGCTTTATACTCTGAAACTACATTTCTAGATAATGTCATGTGTGAAGTTCACTGAAATGTTATATTAAGGAAAAATAATAATTAAAACTCATACTTGCCCAATATTAAGTCAATATTTCAAAAGAAAACACATTTTTAAGCAAAGTAGGATAGAAAGAGTATATTTTTAAACATTAACAGAACAAGAAACGCTATCTATGTGACAAAATAGCAACTATATTTTTAAATAAAATATATAAGAGAAAAATATATGATAACAAAGTATCTTGTGTCATATTTTGTTGATAGAAGCTGACATATCATTCATTCCTGCCATTGGGTATCATCAGTTATATAACATTTGCAGATTAGACTGGAATGGAGGTTCCTCAAGTCTTGTCATACCTGGGGACACTTCAAAACTAGTTATGCTGATCGATGAGCTCTAAACAAGTATGATATTTTAAAATGGTTTAATTCTTAGCTTTAAAAGTGAATTTTATTTAAAAAAACTGAAGCAGTGATATTTGAACCTATTCATCTTAACAGTTTTCTTTAAAAACTTGTAATAATCCATTTGTCTTTTAAATTATAGAAATTTTATAAGTATAGCTATAAAAATCAGCATGACTATTAATGGGCATTTCAATTCAGTACTATATGATTTGGCTTTTGAGTCTAAGAGGTGTTAATTATTATGATTCATTATTTTATGAACTTTGTTTATGGAGACTCTTTAGGGGCTTATAAACTTCAAAATATCTTTCAAGAAAATACAGCTGTGTTCATGAAACAAATTACAAATGAGATTTTCATGTTATCAGAGGTATACAAGAGACAAAACTAGACTACGCAATTTATTCAGTTCCTAAGGTGATAGAATATTCTTTTGAATAAAAATAACTTTATAGTTGTACATTTTTTACATTAGAAGCATATAGACGTACTTTAAATTTTCATATATTAAAGTCAGAAAACTGGTCATATAGATTATTTTCTTTTTAAGGACATGTTTTTATTTATTTCATGTATTTGCAATTTGGTTTGTCCGTCTACATGATTTACTAGTCCTGTGTCTGATGTAAGAGTTCTTATAATCAAAATGTATGTATTTGTAGTGCCTGGCCCTGTTCCAGTCAATTCTCTTCAAGGAACATCCTTTGAAAATAAGATTTTCTTGAACTGGAAAGAGCCTTTAGATCCTAATGGAATCATCACTCAATATGAGGTACTGAGAGAACAAGGAAGTTAATTGAAATGTAAATTGAAGGAAGAGTAATAGGAAAAGGTTAGAGGGAAATTAGGAGGCAAAAGTGAAGATTAAGGAATTAAAATTATTGTTATTTCTCTTCTGTTTAACTTTCACATTCTTTGTTCTGAAAATTTAGTATCAAAACAAAGATTATATGGTACCTAGAATTTTCAGATTCTTAAAGTAAATATATATTTTTTGGGGGTGGGGAGGGAATTGTTTTAGGGAAGCAGGATTAGCCTTTTCAAACAGACTTAATGATGGTTATAAAGAATGAATTTTTGTAAAAGAAAGAAACTCATTTTAGACAGTGATTTAGGGAAGGACATTGAATGTCAGTTGTTTCATAGTAAAGAATTAATCTCAAAAAAGCAAAATATTTATGACATACTGGATATGTAATAGAAAATATATTTCTTAAAACAGGTGAGCTACAGCAGTATAAGATCTTTTGATCCTGCAGTTCCAGTGGCTGGACCTCCACAGACTGTATCAAATCTGTGGAACAGTACACATCATGTCTTTATGCACCTTCATCCTGGAACCACATACCAGTTTTTCATAAGAGCCAGCACTGTCAAAGGCTTTGGACCAGCTACAGCTATCAATGTGACGACCAATATCTCAGGTATGCAAATCGATAAAGCATTTTTTTTTTAATAGCATGTTCTAGGGAGTCACATATATACTTATTGAATTTTTAATGATTGAAGGCACTTTAAATAATTATTTGAATGCAGATTATTCTTACTTATATGTCCAAACCCAAACGTATCCAAAATAGTCACTTTTAATTGACAGTGGTCTTCTAAAAAATTACATCTTTACTAAAAATCTGTCAAAGTTCATTACATATGCTAATAGGCCTATGATACTTTTGAAGAGTTGGTAATTATTATGGTATCTCTTTACTGTAAATGAATTTTCTTAAAGAATTGTAGAAGATTCTTGCTCTACTGTTTTAGTACAACATAACTTATCTTTCTGTTTCATTTTCACTGACTGATAATTTTAGACAAATAATGAGCTTTACTTTCTCAGAAATCTCACATAATTATCTAAATTTCAGAATCACAATGTATTTAGGTGATAAACAAATACAATTAAATTTACATTATGTTATGCTCACAATTTCTTAGTTTACATTTGACTAAATTGTTTACAGATGTGACTGCTCCTTCAGTCAAGTCATCAGTTAAACCTGATTAAATTTTTTGTCAGGAATTAACATTCTAAAATGCCTTAAATGTACTCCAGCCTATGTAATGTTTTATATTATTTGTTTATGATTACTAAAATAAATATATATGTAACTAATGAGTTAAAATTTAAAAAAATCAACCACTAATATGTTGAAATTAATATATTAAAATTAAAATATATTGAATACTAATTTTGAATTTCTAAGTTCTTTTTGTTTCTTCATGTTTATTTTCATTATAGTTCTACCTAGCATATATAAGTGGTAAATACATCATTAAACAATTTTACCATTGTTCTGAATTGATAACATTTGCATCAAAAGGAAGTTATATACTCACTAAACTTTTCTAAGTCCAAAACTTTATTTGGAAATGTTTTGCATATAATGCAAAACTTTAAAAAATTATATCATGAAAAATTAGCTATGGTTCCAGTATGAGCTGTGGTTCCTTTGCATAATAATATTTAATTTATCTTAATACTCTAACAAAGAAAAAAATTAAATATCCATCGTGTTAGAAAATAACAATATATTAAAATTGCCAATTTATTTCTTGATGGAACAATCCTAAATCATCAATTTAAAATATTTGTTGAGTCACTTTACTAGAAAATAGGACTTGGTGATATTATATGGCGAAACATATTTCTCACCCTCTAGAATTATCAATAGTGCTATAAATAAATAAGATCTTTCAACAGAGATACCTACAAAATTTACATAAAAACTTGTAAAGCTGATAGCATTGAACAAATAGCATTATTCCTCTTTTTGGAATTTTATTTTATGCTTTATCTTCCTGATGAGTTTCTACTCTTCTTTCAACTTTCAGCTCAAGCATCACCTAAACCCTGAAGTCTTCTGTTTCATCTTCCCAAACTCCCAACACTAGTTTATACTAATGGTTCTTCAGCATCAATATCAGATGGGAACCCTGTAGAAATGCACATGATCAGGCCTCTTCCCACACCTACTAAATGAGAAACTCTAGAAGAAAGGGACAGCAATTTGCATCTAAAGAAGCCCTCAGGTGCTTCTGATCTTACTAGTTTGAGAACGATTGTTTTGACAAATTAATGTTTCTCTTTTGGTCACCTAATTGTGCTATAATTTTTTATAAGACTCTCACTCTTGATAAGCTGTGAACTTTTACTTTTAATTCTATGAATATCAGAGACCACACTTCATTTTTCTTTATATTTATAGCAGTTATAAAATTTAATATATAGTATATATTTAGTAAATGTTCAATGAATGAAATACTCTAAAAATTTATTAGGTGTTATTTGTTCTGTTATTCTGATAATGCACACATTTCACAGGTTATATACTCTTTTAAATATCTTCTACATGGAAATAATCAAAAGCCGTTTGAGGTTACTTTTTCAACCAGTTTGAGATTAAGAAGCGACCATCCCCCCAAAAAATTATCAAACATTTTGAAAATTTATGTTTCTTCAAGAATCGAGCAACCATGTGCTAGTTCATGGTAAATAAAAACTAAGATTCCCATTTCTATTCACCACACTTCCTTGATGTGTTTCTTTTGAGACTAAGGTGGCGAAAATGACCCAGATACTATTGGGGTCATTCAACAACTCCTGTCTTCTGTTGCCTTAAGTTCCCACGGTTAACATTCAGTGTATATTTTATTCTACAAAATAGGTACATTTTAGATAGTTAAGTATTAAACTGATTTTTTTTCCCTCTGCCAGGATCATTTGTTCAACCCGAACTATGATATATTACTATTAATTGATTGAAACTTTTTTTTCCCATTAATCACTCATCAGCTCCAACTTTGCCTGACTATGAAGGAGTTGATGCTTCTCTCAACGAAACTGCCACCACAATAACTGTATTGTTGAGACCAGCACAGGCCAAGGGTGCACCTATCAGGTAAGAGGTGAAAAGTAATAATTAAAGGAAAAAACAGCCAGCAGGAGGGATGTTTGTTCATAGTTGCTTAGCAACCAGTATATTGAGTGGTTCATTTCTAAGTGACGGTCATTTGACATTTACTGTCAGAGGTTTTATTTCTGTTTTGTTTCATCTTTGTTTTTCTTTGGACAAAGCCTGAAGATAGACTTGTAGTTAAGAGTAGAATCTTAAGGGGATTTTTGAGATATTCATGAACTTAATCATTCACGCCACTGTGCTATTTGATTTAAGAGCTGCTCTTATATTATTTTTTTTCCTCTAGTCCTATTTCATTTCACTTCCTCTATTGGTATCTATGGTATATGAGCTTTGAAGGTTTTTGTCAGAAATAGAATGAGAAAATACCTCTGGTCCAATGCATTAAATCTGTTATGAATAATTTCATATGAATGATTGAAAAATAGGAAGCTTTGAGGAAATGAAAGGGGAATACTTATAATGTATGCAGCCTATGTCACCTTTTAATTCCTAAATTGTTGCTTATCAGGAATTCCATAGTAAATATTAAAATTCGATTTGCCATATCCTTTATCCTTCCAATATTAAAATCTCCCATATTACCCTCATCTTACATAAAATTAGGAAACATTGTTTTCAGGGATTGAGTCAAATTATTTCAACTATTTTAATTTCTACACATTTAAATTAGATAAGTATTTAAAACTTAACAGGTTTTCATTTGAAATTTTTAGACTTTGTAGATACTTTTGTTTTCATACTTCTTTTGAGAAGTAAATGAAGGCACAGAAATCAATGCAGGTATTTCATAATTGAATCATCTTAAGTTGTTTATATGTTCATTCATTAAGAAATAAAATTAATCTTTATTCTATTTATAAAATGAATACATTTGATCTTAAGAGCACATACTAACCATTCAGATAATTCTATATCACTGGAAAGAAAGAAATATTTTTAATTAAAAAAAAATATATTAATAAAAGAACCTGAGTTCATAAAGGAAACTCCGAGTCCTATCTGGCTAAACAACACAGGAATACCACACCAGAGGAAAAGAGGGATGACTGACTATACTTGTCATATAAACACTTTGGAAATATTGGCTACTTGAAAATGCAAATAAGTATTGAGTGCTATTCATGAATCAATGTTCTGTGAGTGAGTCTGATTGCTGATCCAAAGGAAAAGGAGAAAATGCCTGCATTTAATATTTTTTTCTATTGACAAGTAATCAGGATTATTCACTTGTCCCGACTTATGATGAAATTTACTCTGTAGGTGTTCAGTTCTGCTACTGCTATTTAAATGAACTGCCAGGTACTTGCATTTTATCTTTTAAAAGTTAAATATTTGAGTGAATTCAGCTTTATTGGAAACAGTGTATTATTACTGCATAATTGTACTACATAACATAACCTATGCTAATTCTTTATTCATTTAATCAATTTATTACACAAACATTGACTGATATATATCCTCCCAATAAAAGCCATACCTATTTACCACCTAACTAAAACTCCTGAGAGCATCCATCTGTTAGCTTTGTCTGCTAGCAAAGGCTCTAAAGACTAGATTCTATTTTTCCCTACTTTATAACATACCTAGTGTCTGCCACACTGCATTTCACCATCTGTTTGTCCAAATTTCAGTGGAAATATCCAGTTGTTTCTGCTCTGGTCTTCCTAATGTCAAATGAACGCCAATTACAAAAGCTTCTATCAGAGCACCCATGAAATCCCTGTTAGGTAAAGTTTGTCCATTTAGTTTAGTTTATTAGGAAAGCTAAAGTTACTTATCGTTTCTATAAATTTATTAATTCAATAACTTGCAATATTGCCAGGAGTTGAGCTGGATACTTGGAATAAAAATCCACATAGGCAATTTAGTACATGCCCTTAAAGTGTATATTACAAGGGAGTTGAAACATGGTTAAAAATAGACCTTGTCAAAGTTAATGCCAGGATTTTGAGTTTTGTTACTCAGAAACCGATAGTTCCTCTTGCAGAAATAGGTAAGTCATGAGAGACCTGGCTTACGTATTTAAGGAGTGAGGAGATGGAGAGCAAGAAATGTTATGGTATCCAAAATGTAATCAACCCTTTACTCTGTGGATCATCAAAATGTTGGCAATGGGGCAGTATGAGCAATGGTGACTGTGAGATCTTGAGAAGTCTGTCCATAAGAGAAATAGCAAAATGTTGGAGCTGGGAAATTTCTCCTGAAGCTTTAAGGAGACATTTTTAGATAAAAATGGCGAAGTTTAAGTATACAATTGTATAAAATTTGTTGATATCACTAAGAATGTGTACAAGCTGAAACTATAATCAGATTCACAGAAGTTTAGCAATGGTGACTGTGAGATCTTGAGAAGTCTGTCCATAAGAGAAATAGCAAAATGTTGGAGCTGGGAAATTTCTCCTGAAGCTTTAAGGAGACATTTTTAGATAAAAATGGCGAAGTTTAAGTATACAATTGTATAAAATTTGTTGATATCACTAAGAATGTGTACAAGCTGAAACTATAATCAGATTCACAGAAGTTTTACTTACTAATGGGTAAGAAAAAAAAAAAAAAACCATGGCAGGCCATTATAGGTAATTTTGTGTTCAGCTCCAACATTTTTAAGCATTAAATCAAGAAAACTACCACTGTATTTTATAATCGCTTTTTGAGTTAATGACAAAATTTCTTTGTATATTTTCTTAGTTTTTTATCTAAAGGGAAATTGCATGATGAGATGTCATGTTTTGGCTTCCCACAAAACTAAAAAGGACTACATTCCAATGTTGAATCGAGTTAGATTATAGAATAGTGAAATCATTTTTAGTTTTTTAATATGGGGAAATCATATTTTGAGTATTGAGTGAAGATTCATAATGCCAGTATATTGAGTTTAACTTAGTTTTAGAAATATTTTAACATTTAATTAAAAGGAATGGGGACTATATGAAAGATGGGTAGAATGAATAAAACTCTTCAGATGACTTTGGAATATTTTAAATTACTAGAGTACTAAGCTCAAATAATATTTAGATCTAGCTAGAATTAAGTACCATTAAATAATTAGATGAACACAAGGATGAGAAAGCATAGGTCTATTTCATGTAATCAGTCAAATCACTTCTAATTTGATTTCTTATTCCTTATTTTCTGTTCTTTAATTAATTTGTATTGATAAATAAGAAAGTAGCAGGGGAAAAAAAAAAAAAAAACATTTAGAAAAAGTAAAAGTATGAGTTTGGAGGACAGCCTGCCTAGACAAATTGAACAACAAAGGGAAGATGATTTTATTTTAATGAATTTAATAATTTTTAGTTTAGGGTTCCATCTCAAGTTCAGTGAGATCTTTCCCAAAGAGCAGAAAGCACTTTTTTTAAAAAGACTTTATTTTTAAAAAACAAGTGTAGATTTACAGTCATATTGAGAGGAAGGTACAGAGATGTCCCATGTACCTGCTGCCATCACACATTCATAGCCTCCCCCATTAACAACATCACTTACCAAAGTGCTACTTTTTTTTTTTTTTTTGCTTCTTCCTTCACTCCTCTCCAACATCAGCAGTTTGCTTTTTTCTTAATAGATCTGGAGAGATCAGCTGCTTTGCATAAAACTTCTTAATTTGTAATGTACAACCTATGTCAATTTAATAGAATTAGTTAAGACCTAATTGTGTGCATGTCTAAGTTTATCTACCTATATGCATGTATCCACAGGATATGCAAATGTATAACATACAAATATAGATTTAAATTAAAAACAATCAAAGAAACAAAAAAAGATCAGGTTTGCTTAACCTGGGATATGTCAACTGTGATCTTTTCTTTTATCTCCTCAAAGACTATGCTTATGTATTTCCTGCATTTTAAAATTAGTAAGTGCCTGCTCCATGGACCCCTCAGAGAGCATGTATCTTGTCAATACCATTTATAGGAGCTTAGAGACCCAACTTGGCAGAGATACAGAGAATGATGCAGTAAACATAATTTCAAATAATATAGGCTTCTGCCTTAGTTACTTGCCCAAATCTCAATTTCTGACATTAATACAATTTCTATATATCGAAATGAAAGGAGATGGATACCAACCTACCAATTTCTTAGCAATATTTTAATGGGTAATGGGAACTTGAATAATTAAGAATTAAAGAAATTTTTTAATTTATAAAGCTTCTTTCTTTTAGTCTACTTAGGTCTTCTGTTTATAGGTATAACAGAATTTATATTGAATTAGAATTTTATACTAGATTCTAAAGTGTTATAAATTTTAATTTTTAATTGACATAGATGCAAATTCAATCTCTTTCTCTTTCTGAGTGTGTATGTGTGTGTGTTTGTCTGTCTCCCTTTTTCTTTTCTTTTTTTTTTTTTTTTTAGTGGAAGTTCATTAAAGAAAACATTCTGTTTTTGCTGGAGAGCCATTGACTAATGACTGTTTTCCCTATACAGAATGAGCATGTTTGTTTGCCTGGAGACTCAAGAGTCAAACATGCAACCCTACTCACAGCTATTTATGTTCAATTTATATAGGTGACCACAATACATTTTCTACTAATTTTCAGAAATTTTGAAACTTAATTCTTTTAAATTCATTAATAATGTATTAAAATATATTAATGATATCAAATTTCTTAGGTATACCTTTCCTAAAAATGTTTGCCAAAAGAATGTCCTACAAAGAAGGAATATTATTGAAATACCAGTTTCAGAAATTGATTTTAAAAAGTTTACAAGTGATTAGGCAGATCTTTATCTTAAAGCTGCATTTTAAAAATTTTCTCTATAAAATAATAGCTATAGTAGAAAAGTTTAAGACTTTTAGGAAAGGTATTGAAAGTTTAATTTTAAGTTTTAATAGGCCAAATGCCATCTGTTTCTACAATTTGTAGCATTTTATTATTAACAATTCTTGAAAAAAGAGTCAGTCTATTTCTGTGGTGAGGACAGATTTCTGTCCATCTGTGCCTGTGTTGCAGTATGTCACTTGTGCTTTAGGTCTACATAGCTGTGAGCCAATGTTGATGCCATGGCAAGGTCAAGAGGTGGAGAAGCCTGTCAGCACATTCTGTCTCTAACATGATGACAACTGCAGACTGGTGCTTCGGGCTCTGCCCTGAGCAGTCATTCTATTCTGTTGGGCCTTCGTACTGGGCCTTCCATACAATCATTTCAAAGGAAAATGTTCGTTTTAAACATTTAAAAATATCAGACAAAGAATTTAATCTATTATATGTCTCTGATTAGTGTTAGGTTCCTTATTAAGGTGACTCATTTCTCAATATTTAAAAATGTGATGTTTTTAAAACTTTTTCTCAGCTCCTTAATATACCTTAAGGTTGGAATCCATATGAAATTCTATTTTATTGAAAAATAGCTGCCAAAAGAATGCAGTGGGTTAAGACTGACTTTAAAGACTTTTAAGTGTTGCATATTACTATTAAATAAATACTTCATTCTTCTTTTGAGAAATCTTAGCATGTAGGCTCTCTAAATGTGTGCTTTTCTTTTGCCTAAAAGTGCTTACCAGATTGTCGTAGAGGAGTTGCACCCGCACCGAACGAAGCGAGAAGCCGGAGCAATGGAATGCTACCAGGTGCCTGTCACATACCAAAACTCCTTGAGCAGCGGTGCTCCCTACTACTTTGCTGCGGAGCTGCCCCCAGGGAATCTTCCCGAACCTGCCCCATTCACAGTGGGTGACAACAGAACCTATCAGGGCTTTTGGAACCCACCTTTGGCTCCACGCAAAGGATACAATATCTATTTCCAGGCGATGAGCAGTGTGGAGAAGGTAAGCTTCCTCCGAGATTTGCTTTTTCACTGCCCTGAGGAAAAGCTGCAATCGAATTTTATAAATACTTGGTGCCATTTGTCAGAAAAAAAAAAAAAAATGAAAGGAAATAAATTGGTGTGTAGGGGTTTTTGTTTCTGTTCCCAACAGCGTGCACAGTTTTGGGCTGAGGCTCCATGTGTTACATTGCACAAGACTCCTGTTTCCTAGTAACTGCTTCTACTTAAGCTTTCTTCAGGAAAGCACACAAGGGCAATTGTGAGCAAAATGATTTGAAAAAGTGGGGGTACTGCTGCTGGGACTCGGGCCCCAGTAAATATCGTGCATTGTTCTGTCTTCTTTGCTCAGTAGTAGCACACTTCAGAAGATTAAATTTACTGCAGGATAAACAGAATGCGTGTTCCACAGCAGGCTAATAAACCCTTGTAAACTTTTCAAGGGGTACAAACCAAATAGTAAATAACAAGTAACAATCCTCTGATTACAAAGTAATGGGACGCCTGTGGTATCTCTGACAGAACCTAAACAGAAGGCCGCCTGGAGATGGCTGGATGCTGTGCCATTAGAGAAGTCTGTTTTGTTTCCCTGGTTGTCCCTCCTTTTCCCATTTTGGACACAGTTGTTTTTGAGCACTGCCGCTGATCCCAAACGAATATTGAAGAGGAAAACACAACAGGAAGTTAGAAACTACTAGTGGTTCCATATGTGGGGAAATAACCTAGCCTTTCATGCCTCATGCTGTTCTCTTGGAAAGATTTTCTTTCCTAAAACTTATTTAATTTATTTTTTAGAGAAAAATAGCAAAAAAAATGTTGAGAATAGAAACTTTCACAATTTAAAATCCAGTAACGGAATGACATTTTGGGGTACTTGTATCTGTATAGAAAATTGCTGGGTTTGGGTAATTGAGTCCCTGAGATGGGTACTTGAGAGATAATGTGAATTACATGATATCTAATCGCAACAGTCATATTATATCTTGGAATAGTTTAATTGGAAGACATAACAATCCATTTACATTTCTGCTGGGACCAGGAAACTTAGGGTATTAACTGGTCACTTTTGAATAAAAGCTCCATCTTTCTGCTTACTATATATGACTTTCTTACAGTATATGGCAGAGAAAAATGCCACAGCATCTTCTAAAATGTACCCCAAAGCCAGAGACTGCTCGTAGTTGAAAATGCTCTTCTCATCTTCTAGTTTATGCATAACAGGAAATCTTTAGAGGCAAGTTAGCTACCCACTTCCCACCTACACATCATTCCATACCACTGGTAAAAATGGCTTGCTCAAAAAAGAGATGATTATAAAAGTTAATACTTTATTCTGGGTATAAAGTAGCATAGTGGTAGAAAACATAGTTATGTGTTTGGGTAATCATCTTTAGAGAGCTGACAGATTCCAAATTAACTTTTGTTACTTGGTGTGTGGTATAAGAGAAGTATTAATGAATGTCTATTAGTTATAAAGGATTTCCTTTTGCACTCTATAAGAGTTTTGTTATAAATGTTCTCTTCTAATTGTTAGCATATCTGCATGAGATATAATCGAAGTCCAGAGTAGAAGCAATATATTTCACAGTTATCCTAGCAAAGAGTTTTAAAATTGGTGTGGCTCCTATCAGCGGAGGCTGATAATACTGATAGAGTTAACAGCAGTTGCTTTTAGGAAATCAAAATCCCTTTAGGCCTTTATGTGAAAGCGGAACAATCTCTTGCAGCCTACTATGAAGGCCTCAGGTCACAATTAAGTAATAGAAATACATGCTTTCATTTTTAATTACTGATTCCCCCTCGGTGCTTTATTAATTTAAGAATAAATGCTTAAGAGAAAATTACAAGCTCTTGGTTTATCAATGCATACAACTAAAGATGGAGTTATAAATGCATCTTAAAAACAAATAACCTCTATTTTGTTCAGTGGCTTTAACATCTTTTCCAGCCTCTTTGAATCTTCATGCAAAGATATAAACTGAATTAATTAAGCCCAGGAGCTGTGGACCTAGAAGTATGGTTCACCTCCTCATGCCACCCCACAACATTTAGAAAAAATGAAGGAAAAAAAAGTTAAAGACAGAGTCTAAAATAATTTGCATCTGTTTGTATCTACTAATTCCTTGACCCCATCAGTCTGACGAGAGGAGAAAAATAATTACATCAAGAAAGATTTAATCCCTAACTGCTAAATTAGAAAGAGAAAAAGAACAGATAAATTATAATGTAACTGTAATGTAATTTTTTGGTGATCTTTCTAACTACTGTCATTTAGCTTTTTAGTTATGCTAGACTCCAAGTATGAGTCTGTAATGCCCAGCTTTGGTCTGAGTGCACAGCTTTGAGGTAAAAACAAAATTCGTATTTGGGTCTGATTTCTATTAGCTTTGCAACTACATTTTTTTTCCTGACTGTTCAAAAGTACAATATATGCAAGTAGAATGTTATACTTGATGTCTCAGACAAGATAGCCTATTTCATTTCAAACCGAAAACAGATATCTAAATTTTTGGAAAAATATTAAATATTTTTAAAGTCCTTATTTTAGATTTTTAAAAAAATCTCTCTGAAAGTGCATATAAAAACATTAAAAATTTCTTTAATACTGCAATTCTGTACTTTATAAACCTATTTTATAACCCCCAGATTGATAGTTTATGAAGTAGGAAACATTATGTATACGCTGACTATTTTCTTTCATTTTTGCTTCAGGAAACTAAAACCCAGTGTGTACGAATTGCTACGAAAGGTAAGAGGTTTGCTTTTCATTTTTTTTGAAATTCCATTTGCCCGCTTTCTAAAACGAAAGAGCTTTGTTCCCTGCTTCAGGGCTAATTACATGTGGCACTTCTATTACAGAGTATTTGCAGTAGGGCCCAGTTAAACTGCCAGCTAAGTCCTCTGACTCACTTGGGTGTCTTTAACATGTAATGGGGTGCTACTTCCCATCCTATAGAACTTGACTGGAGGAATCTTGTTATAAGGATTTAGAAAACTTTAGAAGGGCTTATTTCTGACATTTAGTGTCTAAAAGGTCTTGAGCTGCTGATCAACCAATGTATTGGGAAAAAAAGCTCAGCAGTATCAGCTCAAAATAGCAAGTTGCTTGTTTAAAAACCTCTGCTTCTTTCTGTGGTAGACAGTTAAAGGTAAAAAGAAGCAAGCTAGTCCAGGTAGATGTAAAAACGTAGGTGTGGAGACTGGTCCATGTCTTCATTAGTAGTGCAGTTTTATTGAAGATTTACTTTTTTTAATTTAAAAAACTTATTTATTCATCTATCCATCTATCTATCTATCTATCTATCTATCTATCTATCTATCTATCTATCTATCTATCTATTTATTTATTTTAATTCAACCAATGCCAAGAAATTAGATCCGTGATGACTAATGGCCAGTAAGGTCCTGCTGACATTTCATATTATAGCTTTGTTGCCTAGTTTCTTTAGGAGAAAACATTTTCATCTTTGAATGAGTATTTAGAGATAAGAGTGGGAGAAAGTCTCTAGCATTCATTATGTTTATAATCCTTTATTTAAGACTTATTTGATTGTGCCAAAAAAGGAGAGCGAGCTACTTGGTGTATTCTAACAAGAGAAACAAGAAAAAGCTGTCTGCATGCAGACCTGAGGCTCTGCAGAGGGTTGGTGCTCTGGGTTGTTTGCTGCCAGAATTAGTGTTAGACCCACATTTATGAGCAGTAGTTTATTCATTTGGGGTAAAAATGAATGGCCATGTTCTGTTTGTACTGGCATCTTTCCTTTCATCATTTTTCTCCATCTAATCATCAATCTGCCCAATTAAGCATTTGTGTTGTGCTCTTGATTTGTAAAGGCAATCAAGAAAAACATTTTCCTTGACTTATGAGAAGTAATAAAAAAGCTTCGCAGAAGAAAAAAAAAAACTCGCTTTTTAATTCAAATACTATGATTCCTCATGATCTTGAAAAAATAAAGCGATCCTTAATGAACGGAAAGAGAATGTATACAGATGCATATGATGTCTGAGCATTTATTTTAAGAACTTAGCTTATGGATCAAGAGTTAGAGTTGAAAATTTTAGAAGACAATGTCAGACGTATTTAGGAATATATCACCTATGCTTTTCCAGATTTAAAATAGAGCCAGAGATGTAAAATGATCTAGCATCAGCCTCTAAGCAGTTCTTTAGAGATGGTCATGCTGTGCTTCTATAACTGAGAAAAGGTAGCTATAAATGATTCTAAAATTAAAAATTTTTATTCACTTATTTGATTATTTGCATTACACAAGATTTGTATTATATCATCTCTCTCAATACAAATAAAATTGTGATGAAAAATATCATGTGGTATTTCAACTACAAGAACGGTGAAATTATGGAAATCAAACTTCCCATGTGGCACAGAATATTTACCAGAAACTCAAGGGTAGTAAGAAAGAGTCCATTTTTCATAGTTTATTCTTTGTCTAATAATTTATCCTTGCTATACTTCTGGATGGCAGGTTTACAGTGTGGTTTACGAATAAGAAGAGTGAGGACTCTAGTCTCAGATTGGGTCCAAATCTTGACTTTACTCCTTATTATTCTTCAGGATTGGGCAATTTTTTAAATTTCTCACCCCCAAAATAAGGATATTAGAATAATTTCCTCTTACTATTATTGTAAGGCTTAAATAAGTTTAATGTATGAAATGGTTGAATAATGCCTAATATGTCGTGACTATTGCATAAGAGTTAACTACTGTTTTATCATCATAATTATTGTAATCATTTTGTAACTTCAGAAAGACATAGTTTGTGTTATGGAGTTATAAAGAAATATGCATAAAAACAAAACTAAATTTTTATAATAGAAATTACTTGGGAAAAGTAAAGATTTTTTATGTTTCTATTCAGATCCAATGTAATTCCTTCTCTGAACATATAATATTTTTCCATATATGAAAACCACATTTATTAGAGTAAAACCAACTTACTGTCTGACTAAATTTTGAACTAACAGAATACAAGTATGGTCATCTTTTGTATAAAATTTAAAATGAAAATAAAAACTTTCTGGCAGAGTATTTTAAAGACACACTTAATAGTCAAAATGGCATGACCATATTGCCTGGGAAGAAGCATGAAGGAACCTTCTGGGCAAGGAATGGTTCAGTATTTCACAGAAGTATGTATGCACAGATAAAAATCTATTAAACTATGTACTTAAAATGTGTGCACTGTGCTGATTTAGGGTACTGAAAATTCTCAAGGAATGTGAAAGAATTTAAAAGCCAAAAACAACTAGTATACGTGCTAGAATACCATAATCATTCTGAAAATTTTTGACATTGAAGAATTGTTCTAGAAAATTTCCAATGCAATAGATTGTTTCCTGCATTTTTGGAACTCATACCTGATGGCAGCTATCACATAAAGAGGATACAGAAGTTGGCTTAAGTACTAAAAGAAAAAGTATGAAGTATATAATCGACACCATGATGTTTAAAATAAATAGTGTTGTGAATATGTATTAGGTGACAAGGGAAGAGGTATTCTGGGAGTTATGTTATTTGCAGTGGGGATCAAAGCTTCTGCTCTCTGACTTGCATTTAGGTAAGAAGCTTTTGAGAAGATATGTGTCACACAGAAATAGAGTGAAAGGGTTTATCTAAATTATACTGGAAATCATGAAAGTCATTCCCTTTATAGAATAGCATATCCAAAACCAGAATTGTTATAAACATGTGAAAAGGAATTTAGTCAGCCATATCTTTGAAAAGCAAAAAAAAAGAATAAGTCTCAGAAAAGATTTTCGTCATACATCAAGAAAAAGGGACAACACTGAAATGTCACTTGTATAGTGAGGTGGGAGCACAGTGCAATGAGCATGCTCTAGGCTGTTTGATATTGGTTTGTTCTGTATCTTTTTACATATAATTTATAACAACAGCTCAGACCGAGAGGATGAATCAGATTGGCCTTAATTAGCCATTCTCAAACTTTAGCTTGAATCTTAATTACCTAGAAGCCTTGTTAAAATAGGTGGTTGGACAGAACCCCAGAGTTTCTAGGCCTAGGGAGGGGCCCAAGAATGTGCATTTCTAACAAGCTTATGGCTGTTGCTGCTGTTGCTGCTCAGGTGGTCACACTTTGAGAACCACTAATCTAAACATCCCCCCCCCATGCACCAGTACCAATGACTGGTTTAGAGTTGTGTATGTAACCCAGTTTTGGTCAGGGCGGTCTAAGGATATCTCTTTTGTCAGATCTTCTAAGAATTCTTTATTTCTTCCTAATTTATAAAAAGAGAGATAGCAAGGACAATTCCCAAAGAAAACAGTAAGGCAACTTGGATCTGGAACAACTCTGAGCTGAGCTACCCACTGCTGAAACTCCTTAACTGCAGATATTTATGTTTGATAAAATAAATGTTCTTAACATGAAAACCACTATTGGTGGGTAATGTGTTACTTACAGCAGATAATGTCTGAACTAATAATAGATTCCCCGCCAAACACCTTAGAAATAAAAATAAAAAACAGTGGTTTGGTTTCAGTATGAGATGTAAAGCACCAATTATTTCAAAGAATGATTGCAAGAAAGCACTTGAAGTCCATATAAACTAATTATTACCAATATAAACTAATTATTACCAATGTTTTAAAAAAAGGTTCACCTATTTCTCTATTAGGTGTCAGTCTAGAACACCAAGAACACATTTGCTGCCTTGGCATAGGGACTTTGTTAGGGTTTATCCTCACTGAGCTCTAAGATAGCTGGAAAGAAAGAACTCACACAGTTTCCCTAGAAGCCATGATAAAAAGAAAATTCCAAACTCTAAGGCGTGCATATCTACATTCATCCATTTATTTAATATTAGCTTTTTTATTCTTTTTATAAACCCCAAGTTGACATGTGATTGTAAAAGATGTCTTTAAGGTTGGAGAATTCTTTTATAGGGATTGGCTTAATCAGGTCATTATTAATTCAGAATATTAGCTATGTTTAAACCATGATATAGGTCATTCCCAATCTCTCAAAAATATCTTGACTTCATTGCTAGTATGCATTTTAAGCATACATTTTAATATTAAGAACAATTAACTAGTCACAAGAGAATAGGTGTATATGGAAGAATTTATCCAACATATATGATAAAACATACAAACACTAGTAATATTTCATTTTTATTCTTTCTTCCTTCCTTTGCTGTCCATTTCCTAATTACTGGATGAGTAGTTTTTTTTTTTTTTTTTTTTAAGCATTTTTTATATAATCTTACTCTTGTCTCATGTTGCTTTTGTCAAATCTTTCATTGGTGCCCTTTTCTCTGAGTGTGCAGATGGATAAAAGTGTCTTTTTAGGTGATCAGACATTAAAAAATAACAAACATGAGAAGAAAAAGAACATTTAGTCTGTCAAGAAATTACAGTAAAGCCATGGAAGCTCCATTTGGTTCTACCATGTGTATAGAAGCTATTTGACTGAATTCATCTGCACTATATTTACCTCAGATGAACTTGAACCTGAGTACAACTCAACAATCTCAGCTCTTAAATTGCACTCTTATGCTATATTTCTTACAGAGCTTACAGTGAAGGATAGTTTGAAAAACAGGGTTGCAGTCTAAAGAAAAAAATATTTAATTGGATTTCAGAGTCTAAAATCCCAACCTTGGTCTCCTAAGTTGTACTAAGATGCTTTATATTTTGCCAGCTACATGTTGAAGGAAATGGTAAAGCATCAGGAAGAAATTTTCAGGTTTTTTTATACCATTTTTTCAGCT